CTTATATACATAGTACATGATCACCCTTCTTCTCTCCCTTTTCCAAAAGGAAGGGAGAAGAAAATTCAATTTTCATGATAGGAGAGAGTTTGGATGTGTGAATATTCCTTGTGGCCCCTGAATATGGCAGGGTTTGAAGGCATTCTGCTCTCTTGGCAGGGAGCACCAGAGCCTCAGGCCAGCTAGCGAGGAAGCTGAGTCTGCTGCTCCTGCCAATGTCAGCTGTTGTTCTGAGAGCTATAAGTGTTGCATTAGATTTTGAGAGCAGTGGAAGCTACTGCTCCCCTCAGTTCCTAGTAGAATTTGTGTTGTGGCTTTTGGGGGGCAACTGCAGCTCTCATCTTTCCAAATACATCTGCTGCTGCAAATTCAAATGTGACCACCGAAGCCAGTGCAGCTGAAATACTGCTCCCGTTGCCTTTGCCTACTTCCCTTCCCTTCACATAGAGCCACTGTCAGCAGGGTACATGTCACTTCTGCTTCAAGCAGGAGAACGAAGCCAATACTGTGCTACAGCTCGCTGGAGCACTTACTTGGCCCCTGTTATTAGAGTCTCAGCTCTTCACTCCTCCTTCCAGCTGTCCTCACTGTGCCCCAGGTGGCATGGCAATGCTCCTATCTTCACACTTCAGGCAGGAAACAGAGCACAGAGAGAAATGCCATTTGTCCAAACTCTTGATGAGAGAGGTCCATGACAGAGCAAGGAACTGAAGCCCTTCCCTAAGTCGGATTAGTGTTTAACTATCAGGCTTGCTATTTCCCTTCCTTCACCCCCAAATCCCTTGGTTGTTTTTCCTCACCACGTTACAAAGCTTGTTTTCCATTTTGAACTTTGTTTGTGCAAACAAGACTTTCTCTCTCCCCCCCTTTCTTTTGCTCAACTGTGAATTCAACTGTTTCAGCCTATGTACTGAAACATAAGACTGTCTCCTATTTGAACCGAAGACATGCTCAAAGCTCTTTATACCTGTGCAGCACCAATATGCCTGTGGGATATTGTTGGCTCCATGGGGGCTGTCACTAAGGACCCCAAAGTTGCCTCTTCCCATCCCACATTCTTCCTCTTTTCCTCAGGCATGCTTGATGCCAGCATCACCGGAATGGTCACAAGCCCTTTTGTAGGAAGCAATCTGATGCAGAGGAGGCATCACTGTCTCACTTAGCCCTGCACCGAGTCCCCCGCAGGCTGCCTTGTCTGTACCACCAGCGCAGCCCGTGGCTCAGCAGTACAGCCCTGCACTAATTAAGCAGTGCAGCACAGCAGGGTGTGTGTGCCTTGGCCATCACAGCCTCCCCTGGACACACTGCAGAGAAAAGGCTGAAGCTTCGCAATGTTAGCCTTCCAAGAACTGCTTTAATTGCCCAGTAATGCACACCCTGGGGTCTTGTAATGTGCTGCTAATATGGAGCATTTAAAATATGAATACTCCAAAACAATTACAAGGAGTTTGGTGCTCTGGTGAGTGTATCCTTCCACTCTCAAAAATAATTCATGACAAAGGAATATGATCAAAGTGAGGACACCAGTGCTTTCTGAAATCTGTCAGGATCGCTTTAATTGCCCAGTAATGCACACCCTGGGGTCTTGTAATGTGCTGCTAATATGGAGCATTTAAAATATGAATACTCCAAAACAATTACAAGGAGTTTGGTGCTCTGGTGAGTGTATCCTTCCACTCTCAAAAATAATTCATGACAAAGGAATATGATCAAAGTGAGGACACCAGTGCTTTCTGAAATCTGTCAGGATCCTCTTGGGTCAGCACACCACTCTTTAGTGCAACTTCACTCTGTTCTTCCAGGATTAAAATAACTGCTAGATTGGGACGCCAGAGGATTCAGACCTACCTTATCTCCCTCTGATCAGCCCTAGTATGTTTTCTTATTTGAGATACTGTCTAAAGACTCTTGCCAGCCACAGTAAGAGGTGAGAAACCACAGAGTATCTTAGGCTGTAAGAGAGTTTGGATAGAAATGTCAGAGAAGTGAGGGAAGTTTTCTGTGACTTGTCATTCTTTTAGCAAATAATTTCTATACAGGTTTAGAAGTTATTTTTCACTTGCTTATTTACAAGGAGCGAAAGTTCTGCTTCTCAGAAAGGACTCTGAATCAACTAATTTTAACTAGTAATATTTCCTTCTACGTTGATTAGAATTGGTTACAATTGTCATACTAGGAGAGAAGATTTTTGTCTGTCCATCTGTATTCAGAATCAGCAAAAGGAATTGCATTAAAACTGAAGAAAATAATGAAATAGAAATCAAACATTGGAAATTCATGATCTAATGTTGAACATTTAAGAAAGTCAAAGGCATTTGGAAACAGGCAGTTAGTTTCAACTGGAGCTGTATGCAATATTAACTCTAGAAGGAGTTACTACAAGCCAGCTACGGTAACTTGTGAATTCCAGGAATGGATGTATAATTCACAATATGATACTATGTACTGTAATGACATTATATGCCATTACTTAAGATAATATTGCATATTAAATTCAGATAGTGAAATGAAGTTCAGTTGCTTTACTGCCATCAAAGATCTATAATGTCCTGTTGCTGAAACTTTGGAAGGTTATGTATTATATCTGTTTATACTATCCAAAACTCAAAGTAGAAAACTTGTGCACAAACCTCCCACTGGAAAATGAAATATGGGAATTTACAGTAAATACAAGTTTATGTTCTAATTAAACACAAATGCTGTTATTGGAGTCACTGGCTGTGATGGAATTAGAGCAGGGACAAATTTAGTCCATAGTGACAATTTCTTTTGAAGAAAAGAAAGGCATTTGAAAATATCAGCATTTTTCTCAAGCAATCAGCACTGCTAACTGGTGCGCCAGGACTTGAGTCCCTTCTGCTTTTGGGAAGGGCTAAGGAAATGATCTGCAAATAGACTTGAGTTTCTCCTGTGTCTAGAGGCAAGAACAAGCCGTCAAAGGCAGCAAGAGGTGATCTAGGTTTTGCTCCCTCTTACACAGCAGTAATCCAGAAATCCTAGATTTGAGGCAGCAGAGCTGGCTTAGTGTGTATTTCAGTCTCTGGTAAGGGTGAGAAGCTTTCAGCAATCCTGAAGTTTAAAGACAGAATTATTATGCTGCATTTGCTGCTACAGGACCAGGTCAGCTCTGTTCATCTTTCATCTGCTGTTTCATTAGGTGGTCTCATGTAGGACAGACTCACTTGAAGCCCCTTAAAGCAGCAGCAGTGATGCCTAGCTATCCTGCTGTTTATCACTGTCCCTAAGTGAATCGACCTGGAGGGGTGCACTACTATATTCTGTACTGAGCGTTAGAATCCTGGAATTTCTCCTCTTTCCTTACAACACTAGAGTTTGATCACGACTTTAGGGCAAAATAACACTGCTGGAGAGAGCCTCTTCATGACCTGCCTCATCTTTTACCACAGAAAATACTTTCTACCTGAGACCTCTTTAGATTCACTGTGCATTTGGTGCCAAGAATTATTTGACCCAAGCCACCAGAGCTTGCACAACAAGAACTTCTCCCCTTTGCTCATGGTTTACGGATACTTTCTTTTGACATAAAACCAGTTTCATTCTTAGGAAGGGAACATTTTTGAACAGAGCCTTTCACCTCTGGGTCACTAGCTGAAATCTGGCCCTGGTTGGTAGTGACCGAAAATCATTACCAGCTGACAGCTACTTGGTGAAATGAGCTGGTGAGTCTTATTCCAGTTCCTAATGGACACATCTCAGTAAACAGTCACAACTGGCACTAACTGGTGTTCTCGGCCAAGAGACCACAAACTGAATGGGGAAGGAAATGGAACCTTCCTCTTCATCCCCTGCCTGGGTTTTTGGAGTATTATGGACAGGCATTTTATATCTTCAGCATTTCATGAGCTGATTTTACTCTAAATGGCTTTTTGAAACTTTTCAATTTTCATGCAGCATGATTCAGCACAGCCTGATCTGCCATCTCAGTATAAGCAGACTCATCTTATGGATCCCCTCAGTAGAAGCTGAGCTGACTGATGTCATCTCCCAATACGAACGATGAATCTGATGTCATGTCTCAGTATGAATGGAGCTGTCTGATGTCACCTCAGTGCTAACAGGACTTTTTATAATATGTCATCTAAGGCTGCAGGGGAAATCTTCTAATCCATTCACTATGCTACACTACAATAGAACATAACACAGTATAATGTGTAGGTTAACTTAGACACCCTCAGGCAGATTTTGGATAGATGGATGGATGGATGGATAGATACATTTATACAAAGTATACATACATTATATCACTCTATTGATTTTTAAAAAGTTCCAGGACTGCCTAGCTATAATGAGATTTTTGAACTTTGTGTTGCGATCAATGAGGGGAATATTATTGGCCTGGAGAATTGATATACCCGCTCTCTGTGGCTTGTTCTGCTCCTGGACTGCCCCTGCCCCCAAGGTGTACGATTCCATCAGACACTTAACCTCTTTTACAGTGTCATCAGGCTAAAAGGAATCTAATAGTGACACGGGACTTGTGCTCAGCACTCTGGCACTATTGCTTTCCTGTCACAAATAATTTATAGCTTTCTATTTCCATCCCTTTGCCTGCACCCCATCCCCTTTTTTCTGTTTCTCTGGGCTGGGGGAAATCAATAAACTCACACAACCAGAGTGGCACTTCAGGGGGTTTTAGGGGGAATGTGAGAGAAGAGGAAAAAAAAGAAAAAAAAACAGAAGAGAAGAAAAAAAAGTTATGTTATTTGCCCTAGCACAGACTTTTCAGATCAGCTCCTCAGCTACTGCAGATAGCATGACCTCAGAATCCGGCCCTGAGGCCTCCAGACACCTTCTGTATAGGTCTTCAGCAGCTATAGATTAGGACACCTGGTACCACTGATCTACATGTGGTGAGGGTCTGGATCTCCATCCCCAGCTAGAACCTTGACATTCTCTGCCTCCAGCAATGTCCCAGGCAGCCTCTCTTCCACTCCAGCTACTGCTCAGGCTTCATCATGTGTGTATCAGAGTTTTCTAACATGCCGAGGTGATGTTCTCCTTCTTTTCCTAAGAAGATACCACTCTCAGGAGTTGTGTTTTTCCAAAATTGCCCTCTCAATGTGCCTGCCTATCTCTATTCATGCTATACCATTCACTAGCCACACATTTGCTCTTTGAAGTTTTGCCAGCTTATTCTTTAGAACAATTTTTAAAGGAAGCTCTCATGTGAGCAGGGAGAATGTGCTATTTACTTTCACTTTCTGGAGAGATTTTTGGGTAGAAAATAAAGCTAAGGGCTGAGAGTTTCAGAAACTCATGCTGAAGAGCATCTGCAGCCTTCACCCTAATTGGAGAGGATGAAGAGAGGAGAGGCTTGTTTTAGTCTCAGAAAGGAATTTGGTCGTCATAGGTCATGGCTTATTTGCCAAGTTCCTTGGTGAAACAGTCATTCCCAAGGCACAGATACCCAATATCTGCCAGTAGTCAGGGACCTTGCCAGTCAAGTACTAGGTGCTAGTGATTTTCCTTCACCGATGACCTCAGCTGGATTTGAACCAGTGACCTAGAGGTGAAAGATTTCATGTAACAAGAAACGGAGCACTGACAATTACAGTTCAGTTTATTTGCATTCTGAGCTGCATTCTAAGCTTTGTGGCATCTTTTTGAATTCCCATTTTGTGTTCATTCAACACCTGATAAACACCAATTTTTGCCCTCTTTGCTGGAAGTTCTTTTTCCCAATGATCTATATCCCATCACCACCCCCTACAGATGATTTCTGCTCCCACCTTCTCATTTATGAAGGGCAAGGGCTTTGGGCAAACTTTCCACCATTCAAAGCATTAAGTTCTATGCCAGAAAGGTATTTTTTAGGTAGACAACAAAATTAAAGCTACACCATTTGTAAATCCAGCAATGTCCCTATTAGCTGCAAAGCCTGCCTTGTGATTATGCTCACAAATCAGACCATATATGATAATGCAGCTGTTAACACACAGGAGATCCTGGCTCACTCATTGAACACCATCCTTATGCAATGAGCACCCAAGTTTGAGAAAGAGATGTCAGAGGAGAACTAGGGCAGTTCTCTGAGAACTGGACCATTAAAGCAACAGAATCAGGACCACAAGAATGCAAATAGAGATTCTCTGTTGCATCCAGAGCTCAGATCAAGATTTCAGGTTCTGATAGCTGTGACTGTGGGTATGCAAAGGCACAGAGAAGTTGCATTTGAGTTCTCAGTGTGTTTTGCTCTTTTCCAGGATCATAAGAACCAAAGTTCAGCAGCCCTTTCACCCAACACCAGACGGGAGCGGGACAGGTGTGACTGCACCAGGACATACTATCGGTAAGGACACACTGTCGGTAAGGACACTGGCATGAGGGGTGGTGACAGGTCAAGTGGAAATGAGGATGAAGCTTAGTTGAGGGAACAAAGTCTGACAAGCAGATGCTAAGCAGAGAAAAAGGGAGGAGGGGGTGAGTGGAAAGAAGCCTCAATGGAAATCAGAGGTTTCTGTTCTTCCTTTCCCTTGTTGCATTGCAGAGAAGGGAATCATGGAGAAACTAGCTCAAGGTAGGGATCTGCCCATAGTGATTCTGCCTTAACATTCACTTTACATTCATGCTTTCTCCTTCATGTTGCTATAGAGAAGTGTTTTCTGTTGTCCCGTCTAAGCACCAGTCTTCACCTTTTGCCTCTTTCTTATTCTGACTCTCTTTCGCCCCTCTCTCTCCCAATTTTGATTCTCTTCCTTTCCTGAAATGGGTCCATTTCTTAGTTTTTTTTTTTTTTTTTTTTTTTTTTTTTTTTTTTTTTTTTTTTTTTTTTTTTTTTTTTTTTTTTTTTTTTTTTTTTTTTTTTTTTTTTTTTTTTTTTTTTTTTTTTTTTTTTTGGTGGGGGAGATGTTTTGCTGGTTTATTAAGGTGAACAGAAGATAGAGGCTGTAGTAAAGTGACCAAATGTCTCCTAGTCTGTTCAGACATACTGTGTTAGGTGTGTGATGAGGTACTTTTCATTCTGTGGGCTGTATGGTGGATATGTCTGCTGTTGCCAGCATAGCTATATCCAGTTACAAATCAGAGCAGGAAAAAACATGCAGTATTCTGGGATACTGTGAAATGCAGTGGCTTATTTGTGGCCTAAGACACTGTCTTAGATCTGTTGGTTACTGAGAATCTGTTGCTACACAAGGATTTACTGGAAAGTGCTGGTCTACATGTGGCAGATCTGGTAGATTTAATCCTGTACAGAAACTGTGTTCAGGAACACAATGGAATAAATGGGCTAGTATGGAAAAGCATTTCTGGATTCCCTTTTAATCTGGACTTGTTCACTGGACTGGGAATCACTGATCACAACAGATAGAGTTGGCAGATATTACTCCTTCTTGGAAAAGTAGTGCAATGTCTAGCTGGTAGTAGTACAATGTCTAGCTGAGCTGCAAAGCTCAGCTTGGCTGAGCTGGGATAGTGACTGTGAGGGCTTCTACTGGCATCTCTCATTGCTCTGGGATGTACTGGGAAGTGTGGATCTACACTGGATAGTGTTGACAGGTTCTGCTCCATCCTGGAAGGCTTGTATTGCAGGTATTGATTGCTTCAGATCAGTGCTTTATGGACTGAATGATGAGTAGTGGCCTATAAGAGAACTGGGATATTCTCTCCACTACCGGGACACACTGGGACATAACAGCCATGGCTGCTGGATGCACAGCTCTACTTGTTCTGCGCTCTAAATGCCTTATTATCATGAAGTGATCTTTTCTAATCCAGATAACTTGTAATTTCTGATATACTTGAAATTCACAAGCAATCTTGGACTGTCCTGAGTGGCTGGAGGATTCTGTCAATTGACATTGGTCAGTGCAAAAGGAGGTCACTAGATTTTCATTAATCTGGGTAGTAGTATGTATCATCAACTCGCCAGTTGTTCTAGTAGGGAGCTGAATTTATTAGCCCAATACTGATGTGCTTCTAACTTATGCTAAGAAGGTAATTTTTCAATGAGTGTTTTGGGTGGGCATGCAAGAGACTGGTCTACCTAAGACAGAACTCCTGTGCACTCCTGGTGAAAAAATGCTGAGAGGAAATGATCTGGTAAAATATGGATGGACTATGAAGTCACTAGAGAATGTGGCCTATGCAGCTTTGCACTCAGTTACCTTGGCATGCAGTGGGAAGCCTGCTCTGAAATGGGATGTAACAACAAGGTTTAGCTTCTTGATGGAATACACTTGCTTGTAATTAATGGCCCTGTACTGGAAGGCTGTGGAGCTATGGTATAGAAATGGACAAGCAAAGCTGTGATGCAGCTTTGCTGGGATGCAGTAGAATGAGTATAAGTCCTTCAGTGTGAGGGACTGGGAGTTTGCTTAGTGCCCAGGCTTTCCTGTGAGACTGGTGGCATGCATAGCTTTCAGCTGGGGATCCCTGAGTGCTGTGCTGCTCTCCTCATGGCCCTTTTTCCCTTTTCCTTTTGTCCAGTGCCCAGCACAGCATCCCCTCCCGTCTCCAGTGCCTCCAATGATCCAGTGGGCTCTTACTCCATTAACGGGATCCTGGGGATTCCTCGGTCGAATGGCGAGAAGAGGAAACGTGATGAAGGTAGGGGGAGGGGAGAAGCTCATCCTCCCTTTTATATTCTTTGTCCCCATGTACAGGCTCCAATTTCAGGCCAAGGTTTGCAGCTGCTCCAAGGGCTAGATCAGTTTTAGCAAGAGACCAGTTCCCCGCCACTGCCCTGCTGGCTTGGAATGCTCTTCTTCCGAGGCCCTTTCATGACAGGCTGCGTCTCCAGACATCTGCTCAGCAGGCAGAGAGCCGTCTCCATTGCTGGAGCTGATCCCAAGTTCATTCACTGCTGGAAATGGCTGGAACTGAACTCCCCAGGTGCCAGCAGGTTCCCGGACTTTGAACTGTGGGTAAACATGGTTTCCCCAACTCACTCATTTTCAACCAAAATTCCATCTCGGAAAAGCACCAGCAATGTGGGAGTTATCTTTCATTCCCCTTGCAAACAAGTTCCTGCCCTATGATGTGCCACGAGCTACATTAGCTGGTGATCACAAGGGCCCAGTTTTCAATGGGTAGCATCTACCACAGCAGAACTGCCATGCTTGCAATAGTCTGAAAGCAGAACAGGAGGTCTTCTGAGTACTGTGAGCCTAAAGCTGTTTTCTAAGTCTCTTGCTAGGGAAATCCTATTTCTAAGGAAATAGGATTAAGTGATCTGCTTTTGCTTCCTACCTGCTGGAAAGGACTCGGGGCAAAGTGAATCCTGAAATAAATCAAAAGCTGGAGCCTCGGGTCTAGATAGTCAGGAGGGATAGGTAAGGTCTTGGTGCTCTTATGGTGGCTTTTAAAATCTTTTCCTTTAACTTTGTTCTTTTAATTCAATGCATTCAAAAATTGAGGGTCGGGAGGTGAACTTTTCTAAGAGTAGTGCTGACCAGTTTGTTGGGTATGTTGTTTTCCACTGTTGCTTGTCGTGTGGAAGGAGTACAGGTGGCTCAGTGTTCTGTGTGTGCTTTAGCCCCAAGGCTGTGCAGTGCAAGAGAACATGAGAGTTCTCTGTGATACGTGGTGAGAAGAGAAAGCTCTCCTGAGAGGGATGCTACATTTTTGGGTTTTGCTAGTAATTTGATCAGCAGTGGTTCTGGTGAGGTTCACATGTGCAAGATTTTAATCCAAATAAACACAATAATCCTAAGAATAAAAGAAAGTCATCATGTCCCCTTTCTCCATAATATGAAGTAAAACTAGTGGCAAGGACTCAATCCAGCTTCTATTAAAGCAAATGGAAAGATTTTTGCTGATGTCATTGGAAATTGGATCGGGCCCCAGAGGAAGATCCATTTCCCAGCTAGATGGCAGTAGGGCCCAGCTAAGAGAAAAGCGTAGCAATGGAAGGGCTGAGTCAATGCCTCAAAGTCAAAAACCGTCAGGAATAAGAGACTGCAAGTATTCCAAACTCCTGCAGCATTTGCCATCATTACATGTACAGGAAATAGAGGCATCTCAAACTGAATGACAAGTTTCTCTAATGGCTGTGTGGATCTCCTGGCAGTTATTTGGGGGTTTTGTGAGTCTGTGTTCTCATACAGTCAGTGTGGTGATCACCAGCTCTCAACATGGTGCCTCCACATCTCATTTGAAACGAAGCAGTTCAATCTGGCTTTAGCAGCTATTCAGGCTATACCTGGAAAGATCATCCCACCTTAGATGCAGCCACACAGTCATTTCCAGCCTCAGAACTTGAGCTTTTTTTTGGAACAGTACAATTAAACACTGAAACAACCAAGTAGCCATCTAAGACTGTGACACTTCACAATGATATATTGACAGTAAGAACAACTCTCTGTGTCTGTCCTTAATTCATCCCAGATTCAACTTATGAAAGGCAACTGACATTCTGCAACAACTTGTTGTTGGCCAAGAGCCCACATATTTCACTAGGAATCAAAAAGGTACCAGACAGTCCTAGAGATATTGCTTGTCATTAGTTCTCAGAGTTTTAGGTGGGAGTTAAATGACGTGGTTGCAACTGCCTTAGAGAACAGGCTTCATCCTGCCATCCCAGATATCTGCTGCAGGGAGATGTTGTTCTCCTGTCCAAGAGAAACCGTACATGCGACCCCCAGCCAGCTGCTGAACATCCCTAACCAAGAATTGAGTTATCTGGGTTCACACTAGCCTTAAGAACTGCCAAAAGACATCATCACTTTGCAGGACTGGATCCTGAGGCTAGAAGGGTCCAAGGGGAGGTTTTGCAAAGCCAGTGACCTACACTCATTCCTGGGCAATCTTCCCTGTAGCTCTGAGGATTCTGATTGTTCCTAGCTGAGATGGGGATTAGGAAAGTCGGGCAAGAAATCCAATGCAAGTATTTCTTTCATGCTCATGCTGGATGCATACACCTACTCAGTATTTCCCAGAGCTTCTGAACACTGTTTCGTTACAGTTTTTTAACTGCTGGGTTTATTCTTGCATTGAAAAGCCCTTATGAGCTTTGCACATCTACTTTCCCAGCATTTAGGGAGTGGCTCCTCCCTAAAGGAAGCAGAAGAAGCAGCACAGCTCTCTCTTTCTTTCTGCTCTGGTGGACCGGCTCTCCTGCAAGGATTCCTCTGTGAGGAATGCAGTTCAGCAGAAAGGGGGAAGTACCAGGCTGTTCCTGAATCCCCAGTTCTGAAACCCTTGTTAGCAACCCCTGTAGTGGCTGGGGGGAACAGGGTGGGAGAAAGACAGAGGAGCCTCTATCTGAGCACACCCCCTCCCCCAGGTCCTCTTTGCTGCAGCTGGTGCCTACATTAGACAGTAGCACAGATGATTAAGAAGAGGAGAGATAATTATGTGTCAACATGATGTAGCAGAACTCCCGAGTTGGACAGAAGGAGCCAGACGGATGCATGAGGTGGGCTCAGAGATGGACGCTGACAGCCAGGTGTGTCCCTCACAGGGAGTTTGAGGGTAGAGTGGAAATCCCAACCTACCAAATGTGCTGGTTGCAACTGTGAGGGTGGCCTGGGAAGCCTATGGCATTGAGAGAGAGCTAGCAGGGAAGTGCCTCTGAGTATCTACTAGTCACAACAAGGAACCGTCTGCACACAAGTCTTTCCTCAAAACTCAGAATGTCCTCCTTAGGTGAATGCCTAGGAAGGATGGTCAGGATTTGCTCCATCAAGACCATGTATTCCTTTTGTTTCAGTTTTTGACCAGTGATTGAAAACCCTCTGACTTCTGTGACAGATTAGACAGAGTTGGTTTCCTACGATATTTTAAATAATTTGTCTGAAAATGTTCACCATCATTTGTGTAGCACAGTGTGTGCCATTTCTTGTAGTCTATGGGCACTGCCAGTGTTGCTGTAACTTCCCTCTGACCTTCCCCAGCACTTGTATTCATCATCTTCCAAAGGCAGAACTGGCCTTGCAGCATGTAATGACTTTATCAAGACCACAGAGAGTCTTGCTCTATCAAGCTGTGTCTGAAAACAGGAATTCCTGGCTCTTCACAATCCTAGTATTTTATTATGCCATGATGGCAGTCCAACCATACCCAGCAGGGTCATTGTCAGACTAAGGAGCAGCAATATGAAGTTCAGAAGGATAAAGGAGGGAAATAATATGCATATATTTTTGATGTTTCATAATGCCCTCATTGATAGCTAAAAGAGTGAGAACTGGGGTGATCCAGAGACACTAAGAAAAATTACTATCACTCATACTGGGAAGCACATATAGATAGATGGATAAATATAGACAGATAATCAGATAACATGAAAACGATGTATCAAACTTCTGTCTGCATGTCACAGCATCTTCAGCTGGATGAAACTTTCGGGGATTTTTACAAAACCGTTCTTACGAGACATAGCTCCTTCTCTTCGTAACAGGCCACAAACAGACTTCCTCTATAAACTCAAATTCTCATTTGGGATTCATCTTCCAGTGAGGTTTGTGCTGGAATGTTCTCACCTTTATTAATCTTGGTCCCTGACAGTATCTGTAGTATTTGACAGCATTACTGGCAATAATATCTGCAGTGCTGACAATGGCAGAGATAATATCCCCCAGTATTATCGGCATTAGCAGGGATCATATCTGCAGCCTGTTATTGGTGGGAGCAGACGTAATGTGTCCAGTATTATTAGTATCAGTAGTAATAAAACCCACAGGCTTGTTAGTGTGATCAGTGCTAATATCAGCAGTAGGTTTGTGGGAGAGGTGGGGACAGAGTGATTGCTACTGTAAGTGGCAATAATACTCATGCTGTTTGCAGTAAAGGAATGCCCAGCTGAGATGGAGGAGCAAACCTGAGAAGGCAGAAGTTCCTCCTTTCCTTTCTTTACCTGTCATTTTGATGATTAGTGATTTGCATTGATGCCCAGCAATGTATGGCTGCACCAGTGTAGGAGGACAGTAAAGGGTATCCAAAATTTTGGCGAGTGTGGTGGTGTTTTCCAAGGATTGTTAGCTGTATCAGTGCAGGTGGTTCCCCATACTCTTCAAAATGGGGTTAAGCCATGCTGAACAGGGTGCTGCCTACTAGCAGCTAGGAGCATTTGTACTGTTAGTCCTGTAGCTGCAGGGTAGGCAGTGTCACTGCCCTTCTCTTTGGTGCTGCACAGATAATTTTCTGACTGTTATAACCATAAAGCCATTTACAGAGAAGTATTGCTTTTGTTACTCTTGTTTTGTTTTTCTCTTCCCTCTCTCCAAATGGGAGGACTCTTGACTGCAGAGCAGGGTTTTGACAGTGTTCAGCTTGGGGATTTTCCTCCCTGGGCATGATCTCGTTTTCCTTTTGGGAAGTTAAAAATGCCTCCTTCAGATGGAGTGTGAGGCAGGGAGATCTGTGACAGTCCCAGTCCCGAAAAAAGTTTAAGATACTGCCCCAGGACATAGGCTGCCTTGCAGAAAATTTGGAACTCGATTCTTAAAGTGGAAAGTAGTGCAGGGATGTGTGATGTGCCTGAGTTTTTTAGCAGATACACAGTGACTGAGTATGCCACTGCAAGTACGATCCCATTTGTGTTGTTTGGAGTGACAATGAAAATATAATTTGGGAGATGTAGTTATGACGTTTCAGGTGACTTTGTGTCA